TATGTTTTGGACTTGCTTGCAGAAATCCCAAAGAAAGTATGTTTTGGACTTGCTTGCAGAAACTGGAATGTTGGATTGTAAACCCATTGATACTCCTAGTGAACAGAATCACAAGTTGGGGTTGTATCCTGATCAAACTCCTACTGATAAGGAGCGCTATCAACGGCTTGTGGGAAAATTAATTTATTTGGCTCATACACGTCCAGATATTGCATATGCAGTGAGTGTAATGAGTCAGTTTATGCACTCACCGAGTGAAGATCATATGGGTGCCGTGACATGTATTTTGAGATACCTTAAAGGGGCTCCTGGCAAAGGGTTAATGTTTTCCAAGTACGGTCATACAGATTTGGAAGGGTACATAGATGCTGATTGGGCAGGTTCAGCTACAGATAGGCGCTCAACATCTAGGTATTTTATGTTTGTTGGTGGCAATCTTGTTACGTGGAGGAGCAAGAAACAAAAGGTGGTGTCTCGATCTAGTGCTGAGGCCGAGTATCGGGGAATGGCTCATGGGGTATCTGAGTTACTATGGTTGAGGAGATTATTGAGAGACCTTGGTTTTGGGCCTAAGAAACCCATGGATTTATATTGTGACAATACGGCTGCAATTGCAATTGCTCATAACCCGGTTCAACATGATCGTACAAAGCATGTGGAGGTTGATCGAAATTTCATTAAAGAAAAGTTGGATGCGGCGATTGTTTCCTTTCCGTTCATCCGCTCAGAGTATCAGTTAGCCGATGTTCTTACGAAAGCTGTTTCTACAAGTATCTTTCGCAACTCGCTTGACAAGTTTACTCCAACTTGAGGGGGAGTGTTGGCGAGATATATCCTATTCTATTAGGGTTTTATTTATTTTTCCATTTTGTATAGATATTATGTAATTAGGATTCCTCTTATTTCCTAATTTAACTCTACTAGGGTTTGTAACCTTGTATTATAAATACCTCCTTTCGGAGAATGAAATAAGATCTGAAAATATTCTACCATATTGTTTGACTCAAGTGGCATAGCACTGTAGGGTGGACACTACTTTAGATACTTTAGACTATGTGAATGAGTTTTATAATGAGGAGGAGGTAATAGTATGGGCCGATGAAATCTTCTTCAGCAGATTCAAAGAAAATTTTGGTTGAAATTTTGTACGCCTTGTTTTGGAGGCTTGTAGGGCAGATATGCATCATACTTATGGCTTTGGTGATGTCAAAAGAAGCATACATAATTGTTTATTCCAATTCTCGAATGAAGGGAAAGACACCTTCAACTAGTGTTAGCCTTTTAATTAATCAGTTACTGGCAAAAGAGAGATAAAACAATAATTAAATAAAGGAGGTTTGGCGGGACTGAACTGAACCCAAGAGAAACACTGTGCATGATCTTCGTTATTCGGTATTTCTATGTTTAAGAATGCTGAAATAAAATCTCATTTTAAAAAAAAAAATTTGCTTGCTTCAAGGAGTCGTAGGTGTGTATTGTTGGGGTCTCCACTGAGGGAAGGTCATTATCACATATGAGAGAAAGAAAGATGGAAAAAGAAGTGAAATCAGAAGACAAAGATCCCCTGCTGATAGAAAAGCACACCTCTAATGATTAGTTTATTGAAGATGTCTTTTTTTGGTAATTAGTTTATTGAAGATGTTGGCTTACAATAAAATAGGTCATTTAAATAAGTAGATCCAAGCTGGCCCCTAGATTTGGCCTTCTCTCAGTGGTCCATTTTAAACTAGTTGATGTAGTCTCTCTAGCTCTGCTAGATTTAACTAAACTCTTTGAAGTGAAAGCAAAGCTAGCTAGGCTGCAGTGCAGATACCCCTTTGTTGCTGATGGAGGTAAGAGGTAATTGATCCCATCCCATGAACAACAACTTACAAGTTAGAAGTTAGAAGTTAGAGGAGGAGACAAATGGAACCATTTTATTCTTTCTATCTGCAGATGCATGGTGTGTTGTCCGGTCAAAGTGGGGACATAAAAAAACTGGTATTAGTTTTAGGAGTGCAGAGAAGAGATCAAAGAAAGATGGCGTTTATGGAAAGTGGTCACCTTCTCTCCAATTCCATTCTTCTTTTCTTGCTTGCAATTTGCACAGCTGAGGCTTCCCTCTACTCTCTATATTCTATGTATATGTCCTTTCACTTTTATAGTGTTCAGGATTTTTCGAGCTCTGTGAAGGTGGATAGCGTTTGAATGAAAATGTTAGAACTTTATCTGGAGGAGTAGAGATTAGAGAATACTTAGTTGGTGGGGTTGGCTATCCTCTGCTTCCCTGGCTCATAACTCCTTATGAAAGCAATGGCCTCCCAAGCTTCCATTTCCGCTTTCAATGCCGCGCATGGGGCTGCAAGGTCACTTGCAGTAACGGCATTCTCGCAGTTAAAGGGCACTTGGAGAATCCTTAACAAGGTCATGTGGAGACCCGATAAGCGGAAACTTCCAAGCATCATCTTGGTATGTTGTTTACTTCACAATATAAGAAATGACAGTGGAGACATATTACAACTTTGTGATGGCCTCGTCAGCTTCTTCCAGCTGCCCCTTCACGTTTTCAAATTTAATACCTTTGCCCTTTTTGCTCTTTTCAGTAATCTCCACCTTCCTCTTCAGGTCTTCCACGGTATTTGAAGGTTTGTCAACTTTTGTACATCAGAATCAAGTCTTTCTAGAATCCTTCTCTTGTTGCCTTCTTGACGGGGCTCTGTAAATCTCTTAGAGATCCCTAATTTGTCCACGCCCAAGTCCTTCTCAACCAATGATTCTGAAGAGGAATATTTATTCTTGTGTTCCTTTACTGCTTCAGTCTGACTGTGGTCAGTTGGTACAACGTCCACCTTCTGGCCCTCGCCAACCATCAAATCAATGCTGACATCCTGGTCAGTGGTTTCCCACAACTCAAGCATCTGACCATCAGCCTCTATGGTGTCTCTTTTGCTTATCCCATAGGATGAACACTCCGATATCTGATCAAGAATGATGTCTTTTGTCAGAGTTTCATTTCCTGAGCCAGATATTTCACGCTTCTTCGTAGTGTTACCCCGCGGCGGGGCAATATTTCAAAGCCTAAAAGCTTAACGAAAAAAACAACCAAATACCCTGATAATTTAAACGATATTTAAAAAGGCTAAAAACACTATATTAATCACATTAACCAATTCACCATATTAATCATTTAATCAAACCACAACAATCTTTATTAATTAATTAAAAACTAAAAATATATACAAAAAAATAAATTCAAAAAAATCTGTACAAAATAACCAAAACAAAAACTCTATCAATTACCCAAAACCAAACAATCCATCTTAATTAATTAAAGCATAAAGAGAAATAACTTTGAAATTTGAGAGAGAAATTAATTTTCCAGACAAATTGTGGAGGGTTGGTCCATTGGTGGATGGCTTATCTCTTCTGGTTTTGGAGCTGCCATGGCTTATGCCCACTTCACAACCCTTCTTTTGCCTCTAAAACAAATGGGTTTCTACCAAATGAATCAAAGAATACAGAGAGGGAGAGATAGTCAATGATAATGAAAAAAAGCACAAAGAGAAAAGTTAATGGATGATGGAGGCAAAGGAGGATTGAGAAAAAAGGAATGTGGTTGGGGGGTTGGCCGGTGTGGGTAGTGGTGGCCCTTTCTTTCTTTTTATTTTTTTATTTTTTATTTTTATTTTTTTCACTTGGACCAAAACTATGCGTTTTGGACATATCACTTAAAAAAAAGAAGCCAAGCAGCCCTGCGCAAAGGAGCTGCTGCCTGGAGCTTCTTTGGAGCAAATAATCGAACAGTTGGTGGGCAGTAGCAGAGGGGCATTTCCAGCTTCTCAAAGTGATTTTCCGGCGAGGGGAGGTGCAGCTGCACCTCCTTGCGCCTCTGTAGGTCCGCCACCCGAATTTCTTTTCTACTTGATTTGCGGAAAAATGCCTTTCCTTTTCCACCATTGCCTTTTCAATAGCTTTAATTCTTCTTTGTAAATCTTGCAAGTCCAAAACACCATCTGATACTGTGGCCACTTGATCTCCATCCAAATGAGAGCTTTCAGCATGCAGAAAGTCATCCTGGATACAAGTGGAATATAGATGTGTCAAATTCAAATGATATCCAAAATCGCGTGCACCATTGAACTATTGAAATCAAATGCAACATGTCATAAGCTGAACAATTCATGTCCAGCCCAATGAAGATAGAAACCAGCTTACTTTCCATAAAATTTCCCAAAATTGAAGTACCACTTTTTAAAAAATATATATATATATGAAATTTGAGGCCTCAAAAGTAAAATAAAAGGAAGTTCAAAAGAGAATCCTGGAGCCACAAACAACTTGCATAATTCTGAAGATAAACCATATATTCAAATACTGGCTCCGCAATTCATCTAATATAAAAAGCAAGTCTTTCAAAAGACTTTCTGGCTAGAAGACCATACACGATGGCATTGAAGCAAAGAACATAATTGCATTAGTGAGAACTCATGGGTGCATGTCTAGATGATTTTTGAAGAGTTCATACAGGTTCAAAAGAGGATAGAAAATGTGCAGGACCAATCAAAAACTTCTAACCCATTATGGATAAGGAAATAAATGGAGTAAAGCTTTAAGTTCCAGATAGAAAAAAAGAAGAGAGTATTGTAGCTTTAATAAATGGATCATCACCTCAGTCCAATTTCCCATTGCAGATGGAATGCATAAACAGACATGGAGATTACCTATGATTCTTCTGTGTTTAGTTCATGAGATGTGGCGTCTGCAAGCACATGGTTCTCAAGTGCTCTTGTACACTCCTTCAAAGAGATGACAGATAAACGAAAATCAGGGGGAAAAAGAAAACCAAAAAAACAAGATGCCAGTATACCGTTTAAATATATTATATTTAAAGCGTACAGCCGTGCGAGCCTTCATTCTGGTTCGGGGGCGAAAATTAAGAGGTTATCAACTAAATAACATGGCATGCCCAGGCCAACCTGGGTCCATGCAGGACATACGAGTGGTGCAAAGGAAGATTATACATTAAAGTTTCACCCTATAGATTCTTCAGGATCAATCTCAAAGTTCTCTGACGAGAGATTCTCTACAAAAGAGAAAAATGGAAAAGAAAGAGAAGTGCGGTTTGACTCAATGCAATCTATGTTTTCGGGGTCTGATCGTAGATACAAAAGATACTGGCTCTTCTTGGGGCCTTGTAATGCATACTGTCTTATGTAAAGAGTCTAGCCGAACGGCTATACTATTTATATAAAAAAAACCCCGTAAAGCCGTGCGGCTATACTCTGTTGAAAAATAGATGTATAGCCGCGCGGCTATACTATTTATATAAAAAAACCCCCGTAAAGCCGTGCGGCTATACTCTGTTGAAAAATAGATGTATAGCCGCGCGGCTATACTGAAAACACCTGGCGGTTAGAGCTCATTTTTGTCAAAAATATTATAGCCGTGCGGCTAGACAATAAAAAAACCATAGTCTAGCCGCGCGGCTATACTATTTATAATTTTTTAAAAAGGACCCACCTGGGACGAAGCGTCACTTCGCCACATGTCAAAACTAGTATAGCCGCGCGGCTATACTATTTTTAATAATAAAAAACCGTAGTATTGCCGCGCAGCTACACACTTTTTATTAAAGAACTGATTATATGAGTGCAATATAGTGCAAGGTTCTTGTAATTTTAGTGAAGAACTGACTGCGTCCTTTGCATGTATGCCCCAAACGACATCTGCAGTTGCACTCTGGTTGGTGAGATTGGATGCCTTAATTGCTCCATACTTGGAAAGAGCCCATCCTCAGAAAAGGCTGGAAATTAGTGTCAGAGGTAATGATTGAATATAATGCAGATTGGTGCTTGACAATTGAGTGACTTCTTAATTTGTTTTCATAGCTTCTTAATTGAAGTTGGTAATTCGGATATTTTGGAGACGCTTAAAATAAGTTATGATGATCTAGAATATAATGAGAGGCAAATTTTTCTAGACATTGCATGCTTCTTTAACATGAGACACAAAGATCAAGTAAGAGAAGCACTGGTTGCGGTTTTTATGTAGATATTGGAATAGATATCCTTGTTGAGAAAGCTCTTCTAGGTATTGATTCATATGGGTTTCTACGGGTGCATGATTTGCTCCAACAAATGGGTCAGGAAGTTGTCTGCCGAGAATCTCCTGATGAGCCAGGCAGGCGTAGCAGGTTGCCGTAAAGACGTCAATTATGTCTTGAGCCAAAATACAGTAAGAGAATTTAGTACAAGAATGAGTTTAATTGCTATTGGCTAGTATATCATATAACACTTTTCTCTTATGTTATGAGCTTCACATTTATATACTCATGTTGATTAGGGAACAGAAATAATTGAAGGTGTAATGGTAGACGTCGAATACCTAGGAGTTGTCCCAGGGGCGGCGAAAGTGGTGCCACCGCACAGGCCCCAGAAAAAAAAATTTCTATATATATATTTTAATATTGTAGCAACTGTTGTCCACGTGAACTCTAAATCCTTTTCAAAGATGAACAAACTCAGATACATCAAGCCAATTATGGGTGTGGACCTCTCCAACGGGTTTGAATATCTTCCCAATAGTTTACGGATTCTTGAATGGTCTAAATTTTCCCTAAAATCTTTGCCATCATCTTTCTATCCCGAGCATGAGCATCTACGAGAACTTAGCATGTGACATAGTGACCTTGAATATCTTTGGAGGGAAATAAATGTATCTTCTCTCTTATTCATCTTTCTTACCTATAGTACTTTTTGAATTATATGAAAGCTAATTTTGCTACGTTTTCACTTCATGTCAGCCGTTACACAATTTGAAAAGGATTGATCTCCGTTACTCTTTAAGTCTTGTCAAGACCCCAGACTTTAGAAGTATTCCATTCCTTGAGCATCTGATTCTTGAAGGTTGTGAAAGGTTGCATGAGGTTGACCCGGATCTAGCTCTGCAGAAAGGCGCCTTTCAAGAGCTTAAGACTTACTGTCTCTTCTTAATTATTAATTTTTTTTCTCTCTGGTTCCTATCATGGCTTCTTCGACTTCTACTACAGCTGCTCCTCTCTCTGATTCTACTGTAGTAGAAGTCGAAGAAGCCATGATAGGAAGCAGAGAGAAAAATAATAATGAAGAAGAGACAGTAAGTCTTAAGCTCTTGATACCATGAAGAGTTTCTCGAAAATGATTTCTTATTCAATTCAATGATTTCAAATGGTTACAAGGAGATAGTTTTTATACAGAAGGATCAGAATCAAGAGAGCTTTTGAGTTGTACAAGATCGATACTATGATAGTATGATAACACTACAATAAACTAATGTAATCTAAAACACCACTATACTGACACCATCATATTAAACTGGGGCCCTAATACCTACACCACTATGGAATGTTAGATATCGTGGACAGTCAATTATCCTTTAGTTTTTGCTGTCCCTGAACACCAGGTGTATGGCTCAGAAGCAGATCTTAAAAAAAATTGCTGCAAACTGAGCATCAATGGAGAAGCCGGGACTCCGCCAGTGAATTATGCATTGGAATCCCTTCTTCCAGCTTTGTCGAACTATCTTTGGTTATGCTATCTCCCACCTCATGAATGCTATTTCTATTTTTGGTGTGAGAATATCTACTCTAATATTGAAGCTTCATTTGGATTCACTGGCTCAACAATGGAAGTGATCGAGTGTGGGTTCCATTTAGTATACGAGGAAGATTTTGAAGTTCTCGTTGAGCAAACATAGTCAAGGCAGAGCAGCAGCGTTAATTAGCAACAAATTATTAAGGAAACCAACAGCAGCAGCAGCAGCAGCCGCTGTACCAGAATTTCAGGTTGTGGCAGGCATTGCCAAGCCAGACCTCGAAAGCTTTGTATAGAGATTTCACCTTTGACCTCGAATATTAAGGAAACCAACAAATTATTGTCATTATGGATTTCACCTTTGACCTCGAATATACTAGAATTTTTCTAGCTTTCATCGGTCAAACATCCAGCAACCGAAGGGCCATTACAGTAACTACAGAACACAGTTAAGTTGCAAGAGGAAAGGGGTTGGAGAGGCCTAAAAACAATATAATCAATCCTGCGGCAACCAAAAATGATTAAGTGCAATTTTCAGTATTAAACCTAAAATTCGAGTCAACGTTGAACAAAGATTATATTGTTCAGGTCAACGGCGCAGAAGCATACATCATGGGCTTAAATTAAAGAATGGGAACGAAATTTATATATTTCGGTTCACTCAATGTTGCATATGGCATCACCATTACAGAGAATTAGAGTTGATTTCCTCTCTACTCTATTAGTTAAACATCCAGCAACCGAAAGGCCATTACAGTAACTACAAAAAGCCTTGAATTGCTAGATGGAATGGGGATGGAAAGACCTAATAACAGTATAACCAATCCTGCTTCAGAAAATTATACTAACACTATATATCTATGATACATGTGACAGAGAAAACATATCATAATACAGTGCAGCATTCTATTTACACATTCTGTACAATGGATTCTCTCAGTTCATCAGGTTACAATCATTATTAGATTAAAGTAAGGAAATATGAAGGAGAGAGAAAGAATGAGTTGCAGAGGGATGATTTCACAGACAATGCTAAAATGACACACCCAAATTACCGTCTTGGTCCGGTATATGTCAACTTGTTATCTTTTGCTCACTGAAAATCACCAGGGCAGGTTATTTTCAATTCCCCAGCTTAAAAGAAGAGTGAGATAATGGAGATATCGATGGTGTCAGTTTGTCAGCAGGATCAAAATGCTTTACAGAGGTTGTTAGCTTTCATGTTAGATGAACACTGCTGCTCAATTGGACGACCTTTGGGACCACATAGCCTGCTCCTTTTCGGCTCGGAAATTCTCACATGCGAAACTGCAGTGGCAAGTGCATCCACTAAACCACAATCATCCTGGTCTTCTTCTGACTTGCAACTATCAGACGACGAAGGGGGACCTGAAGTTTCACTGAGAGAGCCATCTACTGACTTGTTTAGACATGCTTTTAGTCTGGGTGGAATGGCAAGTGGGGGGCAAGGCGCTCCTGCTTGGTTCTTCAATCTTGATTTAATGGGAAGTGCCTTTAGTGTTCGCTCAGTATAAAACAATATCCATGGATGCCCTGTTAAAACGCCAAATAAATGTCAGTTGCTTGGAACTATAAAACTTGCAAAAGAAATCCATAGTTCAATGATCATCAGAAGAACCAATACTAAAATGCAGAAATTGGTTGGAAGGAGCATGCGCACACTTTTTGACAATGTCAAGAAATACAAGGAAACAAGGGCAGCAAAGCAAAGAACGTTCAGTAATCATGGGTTAATTAACAGTTTGGGCTAGGTAGTCGTTCCCTCAAAATTCCAAAAGTCCCACAGTAGTTGATCAACCAACAATTTGTGTGGCTATGACAAAACAGGGGTGGAAAGAAAGGCATCTTTAGACATTTTAAAAACATATTAGCTGACACGTATCTGAGCAAAAGCATCTTAATAGGAGAAAATGTATAACAAGTTATTGAAGTAAACCTTTAGTCGTACTTTCCCCTTAACACAAAAGACCTCTCAAATAAGCCTAATCCCAGAGAAAGAATATGTAAGTTTTTACGCACAAAAATAGAATGGATTGCATATACCTAATCAAAGGGGTTGCATATGCTTAAAAATTCTCATATTTGACAGAACCAGAAACTTACTCAGTACTTCATCTGCTGTGATCCGTACTGAAACATCCCTTGTCAGCATTCTCCCAATAAGATCCCGCGCAGGCTTCGAAATTGACTCCCATATCCCCGTATGGAAATCAAGCTTCACGGTCTTGATTGCTTCAAAAACTGCTTCTAAGGAGTCTCCTTGAAATGGAAGGACACCAACCAAGAGTGCGTGTAGGAGGACACCAGCACTCCAGATATCCACCTTCTCAGAATATTTTCCTAACAAAACGTCTGGTGCAACATAAGCCGGACTTCCAGCCAAACCAGTCAGATTTTGCCCTGCAGTAAGCATGAGAAAACCTTTCACTTAACTAATCCATATAAAAGAGAGGAATAAAAAATATGATTTAACACTTCCAGAAATATGCCAACAGCTTACAAAAATTGCAATAAAAATTACAATCTTGTCTACAACTAAATACACATAATGTTCATTAAAAAATTTGACAATAGAGACATGTTCTCCCCACTTATCACTATCAAACTCCATATCATATCACACAGAAATTTCACGGAAAAAAAAAAAGAAGTTACAGGCGCAATGCAGTTAGGTTTAATAATTTTAGGTACCTCAAATTTAAAGAAAAAAGAGACAGAAAATACTAAACATTCTCGATAGCACAGAATGCGGTATCAACAGAAATCATGGAATGAAGCCAGGAATCGTAAAATCATATATCAGCACATCTCGTTAATAAATTTATAAATAAAAATTGAAAGCAAATCCCAATAAAATGATGACAGATGATGGATATAATGTCACCTGGGTGGAAGAACTAAACACTGAGAACATGTTAAGATGTCAATGTTGCATTCGAGGTACATAAGCTTAAAGGTTTAATATAAACTAACTTCAGAAATGCAATCTAAAACAGAGCTCTGAACACTGCATCAATTTCACAATGATGGAACCAGACACCCAGCCAAAGGATAATAATAATGCCAGAACATATTTCCTGCATAGAATTGACAGTATCTATGGTTATAACTTATAATCAAAACATCCCTCAAACAGTCTAACCTCAGAAGAAGATACGAGCTCATCTTAAGAGCATCAGAACTTAAAAAGTCTGACACAGTTTCTTAGTCTTCCGTGATACAGCCATATGGCTGACCCAAGCAGTTTAGGATCTTGCATATAAATGCTCAAGACTAATACGGGAAGCTCAACTACAGCTATAGAGAACTCTGCACAAATACTTCTTACATAGAGATTGTAGTTGAGTTTATCCTCAGGACGGATAGATGTCATGGTTTAATATAGTCATTATGCCTAATGCTAAATGCAACTTAAAAGCTATCTTACTAAGAATGCTGGATTTATTTAGTTTTACTCTTCCATGGAGATCATACTGCTATTGACAGTAATCCATGATTGACCTTTCCTCACACCCCTACAATCTGTGCTTGTGATAGTTGTTGATGCTATGAAAAAGCCTTTAAAACACTTTCTTCAAACTCAAGATCCCCTACTACCGGGAAAAAAAACATATACTAAAAATGTAGATAAAATCCTTGAAAGAAGAGGTAAGGTGCTCACCATTTGATATTCTCATGGCCAGCCCAAAATCTGCAAGCTTTATCTTTCCTGCTTTTGTGAGAAGAATGTTCTCAGGCTTTATGTCTCTGTGTACAACCCCCATATCATGACAATACTTGATAACTAGCATCACTTCCTTGAATATATTAGCAGCCCGGTGCTCTGAATACTGAACCTCCTGAACCATCTGATCAATCAGGCGCCCTCCAGAGCACAACTCCATCACAAGATGAAAACAATTTGACTCCTCATACACAGCCTGCAATGTCACAACCCCCGGATGACCAGACAAATGCTGCATTATCTCCACCTCCCTATGAACCGTCTCCTCCCCTTTTTTCAGAGTCTTACATGCATACTCAGCGCCACTAATCCGGGACTGACACAACCAAACCGACCCAAACTTTCCATGCCCAAGCGTTTCACCTGAAACATAATCTTCCTCAATCTTATTCTTCCTACCCATCTGGGTAGCAACATCTATACACCCTATCTTCCTCTTGATACCTCTTCCTGGAGCAACCAAAGACGAAGTCCCACACGGCGGAGCAGTGGCAATGCCTGCGAGCCTACTTTTATGCGACACCACAGGTTCAGTGCCTGCATCATCGTCATCATCATCATCATCTTCTTTGCACCGCTTCTTCAACCTTGTATAATCCTCTAGTGAATAATGTGATGTAAGGATCGATGATCTTGAATTGCACGCCTTTGATGTCACACCTTCCGGTAGATCTAGGCATGGGTCAGCCTCGCCACCTTTCCTCTTCTTCCTCATCAATTCAGAGTAAACACTACTTTTACCCAGAAGCACACTATCAGTACATTGAAATTGCAATTCACACTTCTGGGTTCTGTTGTTCTTATATAACAAAAAAATCTTTTTTTCTCAAAACAAAATTCAGTGTAATCAACTAAATACGCCTTTTCTTTTTGTTTCCTAGAAAAGAAAAAAAAATCAAGAACAAAAGAGTTCCACTATTTTACAACGAAATTTCAAGTGAAAACAGACGAAAAATTTGACTCGGAAAACTGGACAACTACATTATACCCAGTAAATTAAAAAAATGACATTCAATTAAACAAAGCAGAAAAACAATTTTCTTTTTCTTTCAAAATCTCGGAAAATAAATCAAAACCCAAACCCATCAGTAGGATTGAATCAGTGAATACGACCGATAGATGAAGCGAAAAACCTTTAAAAATTGGGAAAAGAAAGAACCTTTGAACTCACCCAATACCCCTCACATTTCAGAGCTGAAGAAAGATATCAGAAAGGAAACCATAAACAGCCAGCTGCGTTCGTCAACGAGTATCAGCGAACCCCGGACTGTGAAAGAGAGAGATTGATCGAACCAGAAACCCTAGAAATTTCCGATTACAAGATTTGATGAGGAAACAGGGACGAATTTTATCACGGTAAAGAAAACAATATATAAGAATTGACGCCAAAGGTTTGGGGTTTTAGTCTTTTGCGCCTTTTTACCTGTGCAGACGTGTCCGCTTTTTATACGACAGGTTTCAGAATCCGAGTCTAATTGGGATGAGAGGGTGGGGTGGGGTGATCTGGTGCGGGCGGTACTACGGTGCGGCTGCGTGTGAGGCGATGAAATCGGGCGGTGGAATTTGGTGCGACTTTGAAGACACGGGGATTTGGGGGCAGCTGCGTGTTTTACTTTGGGAAAGACTGGCAGTGAGCTTTTGACGCATGTGATGTGATATGTCATTTCACATGGGCGGCAGACGACACGTGGGAGCCGTGAGCCTGAATAATGTGGAATCCTATTTCATGCTTTATCGATGGGTACATGTTATTTGGTACGGATTGCAAACCCTTATCTTGTCCAATTTGGTTCGGTTTGGACTCCAAATTTTACATTGTAAGATCTATAGTGAGGGTTGTCTTTTACATCCCTTTTATACTTCTGGAGGTTGTAAATGTGGTTTTTGCTCCAATTGAGAATATGTATATCTAAATATGTATAATTGATTTTGCTCACTTTTGTCCACATTTTCTTACTTTTTCTCATGTATGCCCCACCTGTAAGGGATATAAAAAAAGGATACACATGTGCATTTAAATTTGCATCTCACGATTGTAATGCAAATTTACAATCATTTATACCTCCTCATTGCGGGTGATTCCAATCACAAATTGTGTATATTTAACATACACCTCATTATACAACCCTCACTGAAGATGCTCTAATGTATCAATGTTATATTACGGTTTGAAATGATTGGGTTTATGTATGAAATTAGTAGTATACTTGGACTAAACCAATCTAATTAGTGATTGATTTGGTTCGGATCATTCAGTTAATATGTACTTAAGCACATATTATATAGTCCCTTACTTACATCAAATAGAGAATTACAACGTAAGTTCAATAATAGTTGACAAAACTTTCCAGCATTAACTTAGCAAGTCATGTTTTCCGTATTCATGACTGTTTTCTTAACGAGTTAACACGAACACAGTCAGTTAAAATAACGAATGATATAATATGACTTATTTCACCTATTAAGAATAGGGGGTCGCTCTTTTTCATCATGGTAGTTTGTGTGAAAAAATTTCCCTCTCCTTTGTAGTTTACACTATCGATTGTATTAAAAAAATATATATAATAATAATAATTGGTCGCTTTAACCTACATGACAGGTTTCACCCATTTTAACCAATTTATAAAATAAACTATATTTCTTAATCTATATATATAAAGCAAAAGGCAGAAAATTGTGAAACATTCAAAATACCAAAAAATGTCATTGGTTAATGCAAACATTAAGAATTAAAATTATTAATTAAATGAGGGTAATATGGTAAATTCACACTTTTTCATATTAAAAAAATTTAAAATAAAAACAAAAATTAAATAATGGATCCTCTTTTAATGGAACACAACTACCCAATATCTTTTTTAATTCTAAAATATATATTTTTTTTGTTAATAAAAAAAAGGCTAGTATATTGTTAAATGAAAACACGTCATATTAGACAATAATAAAAATAAAGTTGAAATCACTAAATAAAACATCTTTCAGCCATACATACCTAAAAAAATCAATGATGAACATTTGTCAAAGTTCCAAACAAAAGCTAAAATTGTTGATAAAATATCTTAAATATTTACACACCAATATATGAGACTTGAGATATACAAAAAGTTAATGAGAAAAAGAACAAGTATGAAGTAGGACCCATGAACATAATCACAGAATTTTTTTAAAAAAGATTTACCCTTGCTTTTAATGAGTTGTGTACAATATTGGCAGATCTAAAAGCGATCATGATAGCTAAATTCTAATGTAAACAATGGTAAAGTAAAATTAACCATTTTTAAAATTCCATTTGTTTTGCAACGGCCTCTACTTGTCTATTAGAGGTGTTGAACGTATTGTGCCATGGAAAAGTCCATGGATTAGGCTCACAAAAGTTTTTAGCTCAACAGGCATGACGTGACATGAGCATGAAATAAACCCAAACTAGGCATGACATATTTTTTAAATTTTTTGAACAAGCATAATTTCATTAATATAAGGGCAAAAATAAGAGATGTAAAAGAAGAACACACCCCAAATGGAGGTTCTTATATACAATAAATCTGGAAAAATAAATCCAGCAAGACTGTGAGAGATAAACATTAACATATAGATGATCAAGAAGGGTCCTTGCAGCACCAATGCATAAGAGCGATCATGAGAACAACGTATTCTAGTTGAATAGGAAACTAGAAGCACCAAAAGTGAAAGGGTCTTACCACTCAACACTCACCCCACCAAAGAAGGGCCACAACACCTCCAACATTCCACGTGATCTCACATCACCCAGTAATGAAAGATCCATCTAGATCTAGCAACTTTACCTCAACAATATAAAAGATCTTGAAAAGCTAGTCCAAAAGGACTAGAGAGAAACAAACCCCAGTACAAAACTAGGGAAAACAAAACCCATCATAAAATTGGGGAAAAATTCTCTACAATATGATAGGGTAGAGAGTCGCTTGATTTATTAGCTGCATGGGTTAGTTCTAGGGGAAAACCTCTGAAACCAAGAGGGGTTGTAGAGAAGGGAAAACCAAGAAGCAGGGAGAAAAAGAGAGAAGAAGAGAAAAGAAGCTGGATCGCTAAATTACATAAATTCTTAACTAGGCATGACATTTAGCATGGATTTTCCCCTATTATACAAAAGTTTGTACAAAAAAAGTTTACATTTAAAGTAAAAAATATCTTAATATCTAATTATAAGAAGAAATATAAATTAACTTTTGTTTTTTTGTTCAATGAAACTCGTACGTTGAACTTTTTTTTTTTTTTGGTGTCACACAAATATTGGACACACTAGCCTCGGATTAAACCGTTCGTTTTATTCATTTTTGCTGGCCTATTTTTTTATATTTTTTATTTTGGGCTTAGTTGCAGAGATGTTTCACGCAATCAAAAAGTTGGAAGCGCGGCCTTTAACAAAATCACAGTATATAAGAGGCGCCAACGGCACAATCTGCCACCGCGAGACTCCAGAACTTCAACTGTGAAAATGGCTCAGTATGGTCCAACCTTAAACCCCCCCAAGACCCTCATCCCCAAGCTCCCAAACCCCAACCCCTCTTTCTATTCCATCTCAACCTTCAGAACCCCAAAACCCAAATCCAAAAACTTCTCAACAATCTCCATGTCAGTGACGGCGGGCCAAAATCAACAGCAGCACCAGAAACCACCGTCCTTAGACGTTCTGATCAACAGTGCTCGCAAGGAAGAGGTACTTGGTGCTATCAAGAATTCGTCGTCTCACTGCCTCTCCGAAACCAACCTGCATCTCACAGTTCCCGGCCTCAAATCCAAAACTAGAGGCAAGGTATAAAACCCAAAGGAAAAGAACAAATCTTTTCTTCTTTTTGCTTTATTTTGTTTATTTCAATGCCTCTAGTGAATTGTGCTGAATAAAAAACTTAGGCTTTTGCTTTTCAAGCAACTAGCTTTTGGGCTTTTGACTTAATGGAAAAAGAGACTAATTCTCTGTTTTCCAGGTTAGAGATGTTTATGACAGTGGGGATTATCTAGTTATGGTCACCACGGATAGGCAGAGTGCATTTGACAGAATTCTTGCTTCCATTCCCTTCAAAGGCCAGGTCTGTTCTTAGTTCTGACCCCAAAGAAATGAATTCCTTATATGTGAATTTTCTGTATTAAATTTAGTTGAATTTTTTATGGAAAGAGAAAAAAGAACAGTCAGAAAGTATGCTAATTAAAATACTTACTACATGGTTTATGGATAATTAGTAGTAGTTTCTGAATTTCGTTGGTTCTGTGATTTCAGGTTCTCAATGAGACAAGTTTATGGTGGTTTGACAAAACTCAACACATAACTTCAAACGCAGTTGTTTCGGCTCCAGATGAAAATGTAACAATTGCAAAGAAATGTTCTGTTTTTCCTGTTGAATTTGTGGGTAAGATGTTATAATCATAGTGTTTAGCACTTTTTAATTGGCTAGTGAGCTACTTCATTTTTTTTGTGCTTGAAGTTTCTTTCTATTCTGAGTGAGGGAAAATGCAAGTTTTAGTAAAAGGTAAAACTTTTGTGTTAAAGATGTTACATATTCAAGGCATTGTTTGAAAAAAAAAAAGAAGAACTGGAGGAAAATGGACTTTCCGATATACTCATTCTGTATCAATATAAATTCTTTTTAAGTGGTTAGTATCCTAGATTGCTTAATGTCCCAGCACACTTGTATTTGAGGAATAGGATTATGGATTCAAATTTCTTTAAAAAAAAAAAAATCATCCATATGTGTCTTATTTTTGAACTTCAGTGTTGGAAGCCTCCATTTTACCTTTAGAATTTCTGTTTTGGCAGCTCTTTTGCTGTTACCTGCACTATTTGCTCCATTTGTATAAAATTAGCTATTTATGCATATACTTAGTGTTTTGAGAGGATAACAAAACAATATAAACATACACATGGAAGTTTTGAGAGGAAACAACTATATAGAGGTATATATATTTCTTCTTCTCATAATCATGAAGGAAAGGTATAATCTTCAAACAACTTGGCTTGATATGAATTCGAGTACTTGCACCATACATACATAAATTAAGCTGTCTTTACACTACTTTTGCTTCTAATTTTGTAGTCAGAGGTTTCGTGACGGGAAGTACTGATACGTCACTATGGACAGTGTACAATAATGGTGTTCGGAATTACTGTGGCAATGCACTCCCAGATGGTGCGCTTTCTAATCAATGCATCGCTTTATTTTAAAACCAAAATTTTAAGTCTGATGGTTTATTGATATTATAGGCTTGGCAAAAAGCCAAAAACTTCCTGCAAATATACTCACACCAACAACTAAGGCGGCAGATCATGACGTTCCTGTTACCCCAGATGAGGTTTGGTCTCTCTTTGATATCATTTGTTACCTAAAGGGAAAAAGGGGGGAAGGAGAAGAAATCTGG